ACTTAGTATCTGTAGGAGAAAACATTTCACCGAAGTTAATGTCTCACAAAATACAGATGCCAACGAGAAGAAAATAAGTGTGAAGTAAATAAACCAACCAATGTAAGTTTAGACCTTGAGTGGTACACTGTGTCAGTATGTAATTGTGTATTAAATAAGTTTATCTGATATTAGTCACCCAATCTGACTTGACTAAACTGATATGATTATGCGAAATAATTTGTGCTCAAAACGTCATCATCCAGTTATTATTACTGCATCTCTGTGTTATAATCAAAGAAGCCCACCTAATATGGAATAATCCCGCAATATATATATCCATTAGCCAATATTATCTAAATACATATTCCCTATAATAAGGAGAGTTAAGGCAATTAAAATGACTTAATAATAGGCCAGAATCTTACTAGTCAAACTGAAAAGGGTATGTCAATAGCTCGAACAACAAAGATGGGTGTTTCTAATTCAATTTTTTAAAAAAGATGAAAATCATATAACCGTCCAAACAAATACGGCAGCAAACTGAAATAAAATCTCAAAAAGAAAAAAACATTACCGAGTAAACTATCTAAACTGGCATGACAAATTATGTTATACAAAGATACAAACTATAAGATTAATTAATGTTTTCAAGTATTGGTTTTGTAAGGATTTTGTTTGATTGCATGGAGGATTTCAACATGAGCTGACATCAGTCAGAGTGGGTGCGTACTGATGAAGAGTCCCAATCCAGGACGAAACGGCTGCCCAGTACTCCCAGGTTTTCGAGCGGTTCTCTAACTGATGTCAGCTCATGATTAAATCCTCCATGCAATCAAACAAAATCCCTACAAAACCAATACTTGAAAATTAATCTGATGCTCACTAGTGACTGGTCCTATTCAGGCAGTTAACCTGGGGTTCTAGTGGGAGGCCGTGACCAGTAGGGTACAGCAGGTTGAAGATGAGGCGGTAACTCATCGAAGAAGACATTGCGAAGTGGTCGCGCTATGTCGTGAATTGGCAGAAGTTAGAATTCAAGGACCATTGGATCAGGTCCCAGTGGCTCAATGGTCTACGAGCTCACCTTGTAACCAGAAGGTCCTGGGTTCGAACCCCAGTGGGTGCGTACTGCTGAAGAGTCCCAATCTAGGACGAAACAGCTGTCTGGCAGTACTCCCTGGTAGGTTTTCCAGTGGTTCTCTAACTGATGTCAGCTCATGGTGAAATCCTCCAAGCAATTTTAATGTTCATAAGAAATTCACATGTTATACTATAATTCATCTAACACACAAGTTTTTATGTGTACAGTTAAAAAATAAAGTAATTGCACATCAAGCAGATAGACATTATAATTTGTGCTTGCAAATAAATGTTCTAAAGTGCAATCCCGCTACTTTTGACCATTAATTCAGGTTGACTTTAAAAAGAATAGGAATACGCAGAGCAGCTACAAAAACCTGAGAAATCTACCTCAGCCTCACTCAAGAAGTAGAGTAAGAAGAATATCTTAAAAGATCAACTGTGACTAAAAAAAGAAAGAAAACGAATACTGAAGGGCTTGTTTAAATTCATAACACAAAAAAGAAAAAGTTAGGCAAGTAGAGCGTCAAAGAAAATTATCCATAAAACGGACTAACTTTTGTAAAGTAATAAAACTATTCTAAACAACACAACAAAAAAGTCAACCTGAGTAGATTAACTTAAACAGTTCTGAAGTAGGCAGAAAAAAACACAACAACAAACAGTAAACCCACAAGAAGATGCAATTGATTCAGTATTTTGTATTTATTGTTAGACTGTGTTGAGTTTATATACGATTAGATGCTGAATTCAGCGCAGTATATGCTATAATCTGCTTTCAGTTTGTCTGTCTGTCTGTTTTCGACATAGAACTTTGCACAAATGTGCGGAGGTTCAAGTCGCCACACTCCGTGTAGCACGCGAAGCAAGAGAAGAAAGTACAAGAAAAGCATAATAGAGACAGTAAGCAGAGGTGTGAGACAAAGGAGTAATAAAGAAAAACAAAACAGTTTCATTGAAGATCATAAGTCACAAGGAGTGGATGCATCTGCGCCACTGAGAACGATTTTGAGCCATGTCACCAATTGTTTCTAACCATAGATTTTTACCGTCCCGAGGACCCCAACCGGTGAGGAAGTCTACACCTTCCTACGTGGCTTAGACCAACTGTTGTGGATTTCATTGACTGGTGAGGCCAAGTTTTTGTTTGACCGCCGCTAGCTTTTTTCCAGCCTGACCCTATATCCGCTAACATTGCTCGTCGAGGGAGGCGATGGCTTGGCATACGTAACACATGTCCTAAACATCTCAGTCTTTGTAACTTCACAACTTCGTCGATTGATTTCCCCTGTTTACCTAGAACTCGACCGATGCCTAATCTCAATATTGCTCACCTTATTATGCCACTTCACACGGGAGACCGAACGCAGGCACCTATGATCAAAGACAGCTAGTCTTTTCATGTCTTCCACTCTCAGTGGCCAGGTCTCACAACCATAAAGGAGGACGGAGCGGACTGGTGAGCAATACACCCGCCCTTTGGTCGATAGTCGAACATCTCGTCTACGCCTGAGTCGGCGTAAACTGACAAATGCGAAACGAGCCCCCTGTATTCGTGCTGAGATTTCGTCAGAGATCAACGCGTTGGCGCTGGCTGATGGTACTTCCCAAATAAGTGAAGCGGTCAATGTGCTCTACCACTTCACTTCCTATTTTTAAACTAGGCGTCGATGTAGTCCAGTCCTGTAACATCATCTTGCATTTGGCGGGAGCGAATCGCATGCCAAACATTCGTAGATTGCAGCTCAATGTGTTCAGAAAACTCTGCATCTTGTTAGCGTCCTCGCCTAGAAGGACTATATCGTCTGCATATTCCAAGTCAACGAGATTATTTCCTGGTAACAAGTCAATCCCTGAGTCGCTGAAGTTAGTTAGGGTTGAGTCCATTAGTACATTTATGATGAAGTTGAATAGAAATGGGGATAATGGGCATCGTTGATGAACACCACTAGTCGTCACCACTTCAGATGACAACTCGCCATAAGCCCTCACCTGGCTGCATGAGTACGAGTAGAGTGCCTTAATCAGTGCAATATATTTTCTCGGAATCCCCTTTACAGCCAAGCATCTCCAGAGAACTTCTCGATCGACAGAGTCGAATGACGCCTTTAGGTCAAGAAATATAATGACTGTTGGACGCCGGTAGGAATTCCTATGTTCTAGAATCTGTCGGAGGGTGAAGATATGATCAATGCACCCTCTTCCTGGTCTAAAGCCTGCCTGGCTCTCTCGTGTTTGTGTCTCCCGAGCACCACTTAGTCTACGCATGATTATTGAGCCTAAGACTTTAGATACTATATTAGTCAAGCTGACCCTCTGTGATTATCACAGGAAGACTTGTCTCCCTTCTTGTATATGGGGATAATCAGTGACTTACACCAACCCGATGGGATTTCTTCTGATTCCCAGACGCTGCCTAGTACCTCAGTTAATGCAGACAGTAAGCTGTCTCCACCGTACTTAAATACCTCTGGAGTCATTCCATCAGGTCCCGATTTCAGTTTACTCGAACAGTAGTAGAATCTCCCGAACCTAAAGTTGTTTCTTCTTTTATTTATGTAAGACAGTTAATTTGCATTGACTATCGTTATTTTCAACCATTTATGTCTCCAGATCACCGACCAACTAGAGTAGACTTAAACTACTGGTTTGTTACACAGTGGCTACAAATGTTCGAGTATATGTATAGGTGTTTATATATAAAGCTAATCATAAGCCTAACAGTTAAAAAGTTAAATTTATACGGTACGAAAATAGGCAACTTTACACCAGTTAAATTACAAACAAACACCTATGATCCGTCTAAATATCTACTCGGGAACTTCACCTATGAAATACTCATACAGAAGTACAATTGTGGTGAGAGGTGGCTGCTAGCCAAAAGTGGTACGCAGTATTTTACGTGAATGTGTATGTCCCAAATATTGGTCGTGAGAAAATATGAACAAAGACTTATTCAACAAACAACCACAGTACACTTTGAGTAGGCGGATAAAGTTAACACATAGATGATCTGACATTCAAGAAACAGCCACAAAGAGATCATTGAGAAACAACCAATCAGAAAACTGTGTTCGTCTGCTTGAATAAGCTATAATAATGTACATGAAAATATATAAATACGTGTTGATTTCCTTAATAAACGATCTGTTGTCTGGCCCTTGTCTTCTGTAGTTGCACGATGTCATAAAAACAGAAATATCCATAAACCAATTCCCAATCTTATCTACATGTCCTATAATTATTATAAATTTATTAACAGTGGTAGGTATACGCTAGAGAAGACTGAACTTTATTGAACACTGCTAATGGAAAATGTTTGGAGAGAGAGAGAGAATGTAAACTGTACAGACTAGACTCATGTACTGAAAAGTACACCACGTCACAATCTTTGTTTCTGGCTGGGAAAAAATATTTTTGATACATAATCTGTTAGTAAGCCATCATGCAACTAGTCGCCAGCGTTATTAACAGTAACACCCAGTCTACTTGCGTAATAAACTGGTGAAAAACAGACCAATCGTTTACTACTTCAGAATCAAGAGAAAAAAGTTTCATCATCATCATAGCATAAAAAACAGCCAACTGTCCATATTGGCATAAATTTCAAAGTAAAATGAATTGTCAACTTTGACAATTGTTCACGCACACATGAACATGAAGATAGTTTCTCCAATCCAAATGGCATTTTATCACTATAATGTTATGCATTCTTAAATAGTAATATATAAAAACCTCATTAACAACTTTTAGATGAGTCGATTCCACACTTCAGACAGAATATCAATAGTCTAATGGACACTATACTACTTCGTACAAAAAATAAGTGCTATATTGTAAAGTTAGGATCAATAACAACAACAACAACAACAAAACTATCCAATCACCAACAATTCATGAGTACATCAAGAAAAGAAAAACATGAAACACTGACTAACCCATTTCTAGTAGGCAACCATTCCACCAAGCGTATTGGTTCGTAATTTGTTAAATCATCTGGAACAGCTTCACCAGCAGCTAAAATAAGAAAAAATCATTACAGTTGTCGAATGAATTAAAAGTCTAATTCAAATAAAGTGACGTTGAGATCATATATACACAAATGAGGAATAAAAACAACAGAGAAATCGTTGAAGCAGTAACTATCGTTTGACTGATTGATCAATATGCTAGAGCTATCATAATTCCCCCCTCTGATATTTAAAAAAAAGAAAATGATAACATAATACAGATAGACACTCATAACATATTATGACCAATAGTCAAGGCTTGTGACGCAAATAATGATAATAATCATGATAACCATAATAGTAAGAATAATAATCATACAGTGGAAGGAAATCAACTCCCAACAAACTAAAATGTCACAGAAATTGATTTTGCCTGGTTAATACACACCAGCTGACGACCAACAAAAAAAATGACTTATTTCTAGTCTCCATCGTGGATGCTTGACGTCATTTATGATTATGACTATGATTATCACTATTACTATTACCATTATACTCTTATCATCATAAGTTTAGCTCACTGATGAAAAGAAGGAAAATATAAACGAGAAACATGAAACTGAAATTAAATAACCATCTGTTAATTGCTAACAATCCCTCCCATTACAGAATCGGGGTATGAAAAGCTTTTCATTGTATGGTCCCCTACTATAGTCTATATAATTAATACTCTTTGTAAACATTACAACAAAAATGGTGTACGGTTGCCACATAAAACTTTTTTCTATATTCTATCTTTACATAAAACAAACATGAGTTTTCAATGCCAAGAGACAGAGTGAGAAGATACTGAAATGAAAATAATGACAACCATCAGTTCTTAAGAAAGTTTTGCGATAACGAAGATACAACTTTGCGGTAGTTGTATAAAACGACATTGAGAATGAGTATACTTATGAAAGCCTTATGATCAATGCTGTGTCACACTGCCTATCACACTTTTATGTAATTCAAACAGTGACTTGGTTGTTTCATGCAACTCAACCATAATTTAGTCTTTACAGATTTGACTTTGTAAACACAAGTTCAAGTCAACTCGTTCAAAGAAGACTCGGTTGTTTTCTACTTTCAAACAATTATATATTCTGAGTTTAATTATATAGACGAAAAATAAAAAGTGAGAAAGGAATAGTAAATATTCATGAAGCATTGCTAAGTATTTCTTCACAAGTGAACAACTACTACAAATGTCTGGAAACTACCAGTTGATTAAGCAACTGTCGTAATGAAATTAGGGGAAAAATTCATTCAACATAAATACAGTTTTTTAACACCTAATTGAAAACTTAGAAAACTGACGTCTGTGTCACAAGAAAGTGTCAGTAAAAACTCTCAAGGGAATTTATACCTAACTCATGTACTTCTTAATAACTTAGATGCTGTCATAAGTACTGATAATTCATATACTTAAATGCCACCTTGAAATAAACAGATATGAATCTAGCACTAATGCATCTGTGTTCGTTCATTAAATATCTGTTACGAAGATTCTAACAACAAGTGTCATCATGAGTAGCAATTTTGTACGAATACTCTTATAGTAAAACAAATATTAGGGAACAAGAATTATATATATATATATATATATGCAGTCTTTAATGCCTTATTCATAACGTCTACCCATGATTCCCCTGGCTGTCGATCGAAAGCGTGTGGTAAAATGAATATCACCTGTCCAAAGTCTGGCTGACCACCAAAATCTATACTTTGGGATACTAATTTATTTATTTATTTAGACGCATAAAAACGTGTTACAATATGGCACCAAGAAGGATGCGCCACACAATAATAATAAAACAACATAGATCAAAAGAAAAAAGAAGAGAAAAATATATGTAAGTATAGAACGGATAAAGAACTTCATCTGGAAGGAAAACAGTCATGCTTAACAAGTTCAAACAGTATTCGTTAACTATCACCGGGAAGGGAAGAAAGAAGGAAATCGCAACACGTGTAATGGCACGCGATAAGTTTCATTGATCGTTTGTTGCTTTATTCAATTCATTGTGTGAGGGCTGAGATACTGCCCGGGCGTCCAGACCGAAGCAGGTGGTTTTATTAAGGGACCACCCCCGAGCCTTTGACTTGGAGTCTAATCTGTAAGGCAGCGGAGCAGCGTCAGGAGCTGCATTCCCATGGTTGACGGTGACCCATATGGGTTCATACGCCATTTGACCCGATTGGATACTGGAGCCCATGTACCCCATGGTAACTGCTTTTAGTTTAACCGCTATCCAAACAGCCTTCCTGACATGGTAGGACCTGCAGGGACAGAGCCCCAGTCAGTTTAGCATGTTGGGTCATTACGGTATTCAAGCCCGACCACCCCGACAAGGTAGCAAATATCGGCCGGGATCATATATGAATCATCATGAGTCATATATGATTCATAATCATAATTGGGATACTAATTATGAATCATATATGAAAGCCTGGTACCTCCAAAACGATTCAATAAATGTCTATATTATTCGTTGGACGAATTATTTCATCTCATCAATAAATAAGTAACTAATAATATAAGTATGAAAATTGGGCACTGTGGTAGAGTATAACGCTATTATGGATAAGATTTTATTTTGATAAATCACACAGTGTTATACACTATACATTAACTGATGACGTTACGAGCACAAATTATTGCTCATAATCATATCATTTCACTCATTAAGTAACCATGTATATACGTAGGATATGTTTACAACCTATATATATATATATATTTTACGTAGGAAAGAAAACAGAAAGTTGATATATTTAGATGGTAGAAGGTTAATTTTACCGTAAAACAATTTTCTTATATTCTCCAAAAAAACTAGACGGCGAATATCTAGATGAAATTCACCTACAAGAAAATCAGTCTGTAGGTTCTAATTATGTTGATTCACATCCTGGAGAATTCTTATTTTTCAGCTTTGCAAGGTGTGCAACAATGAATGGATACAATCATGTCTTTTGCGATAAAATACTGTTGTGGTCGTATAAAGGTACTATTTATTAATCAGTAATTGGCTTTACTCAAAATGAACACTTTCAAACAAGGTCTGCATCAAAGTCAAAATTTCGTCGTCACCGTCGTCATCATCATCATCTTGGCGAGAAAACAATCTAGTACGCTGGACATAGATTAATTAAATGGTTAACGGAAAAAGAATGTTATCGTTGACAAAAGTATCCTACCATGGGGACAAATAATAGACATTGGACGTTGGGGTTGGCGAATCGACCAAGTTGCAATCAGGCCATGATTATGAGATGTAAGAAAACTTTTCCCATCCCAGTGCCAAGCCATACTGTAAAGACTCTACAAAAGTAAAGAAACAAAGTAATAGTAATTCTGCGGAAGAAGCTGTGGCCTACACAGCGAAACGTTCAGAGAAATCTTGTTTTGATTTTTTTTTCTTAAACACACTGAAATTTTGAAGAATAGGTTATTATAAGGATTTTATTTGTTTCAGTTTAGACCACGGATTGATACCAGTTACAGAACCACTGAAAACCAGGGAGTACTGGAAAGCTGTTTCCTCTTAGTTTGGGAATAATCGGCAGTACGCACCCCCTGGGTTTCGAACCCACGACCCTCCGGTTACAAGGCAAGCTCGTATACCATTCTGCCACTAGGACCCGGTTCAGTGGCCCATGAATCCTGACTTTTACCAATTCGTCATTGGCAGGAACTCCATCTTCACTCCTGACTGGATGGAACCCCATTGGTCACGACTTTTGACTAGAACTCCAGGCAACTTTGTCCTGTAGCCACTCACTAGTGAGCATCAGATTAATTTTTAAGAATTGGAATTATTTTAAATAATTTACAATGATTCAATGTGACTCGGTACTCAAATTATTCCAGAAAATTCGTAACATCCACGGTCTGGAAACTTACAGAGTTTTACTAAGTTTCAGTTCCTATGGGAAACGATCAGGTGGTAGAGCTTCTTCTCTTTTTAACACTGTGAAGTAGTATCTTTTTGTAGCAATCAATTACAAGTTGGATATATATATCCTTCGGCGACTAATTTGTAAACTGAACAATGACAACAATGACATGTTTTTTTTCACTCTTATTCAGCAGACATTTTACTGGATGTGCCTAAAGCGCTAAGAATGAATGTTTGATATGAAAATTCATGGAAAAACGAAGTTGATACATAATTTGAAAGAAAATTCTTATTCCATAAGGTTATTGCATACTGGTAGCATTAATTATAGATGAATAATTAAATAATCAATCTCTAATATATATCTACAACATTAAACTATGCCAAAACAACTAAAACTTAAAAAAAATTGTAAAATAAATGTAATCTAAACTTACATCCGTATGCTTAAAACGAGCATCAGCCTGCTTTGTTTTCAGATCCCATAAAACAAGAAATCCTGACGAATAACCAATAAGGATCTTATTGGAATCTTGAGGATTTTCGGCTATCTGGACAACTTTTCCCGGATGAGATGATTGTGATCTTTGAAAGAATACGAAAACCAGACAAATAAGAGGAAAATTAACATACTAACATATTTCTCCACTATAAGTCATTTGGGTTACTGGTTATTACAGAGCTGGAGGATTATAAAAGTCTAGGTTGATAGACGAGGGGGTTTCACAATCAAGTCCCATCCATCAATTATTAACTGAATGAAAATTACAAGATGGGATGGTAAGGGTATACTCCACAGTCTGAAAAGTTTAAGATACTGGCTATCCTTGAAATGTTTTAACAGCGATCTCGTTGGCGCGAATGCATTACATGATTATTAACTTCTATCGCTGTAATATCATGCCAAAAATTTGGAAATTTGAAGGCTCATCAGAACTCACTCACCAACAAATATTTTCGTTTAAAAGTTGCATAAGATATTACAAAATGTAGACAATCATTTGACTTACAAGTCGATAGCCTTGTTCCAATTGATCACATAACCAGATGTTGCGAAACGTTGAACACTGACAAAATTCACGTTCCCTTTATCAGTGCCTAGATAAAGCCAACTGCTGCCAATAGGAAGGTGTCCACATGTTAAACTACAATTTAGGAAAGAAAACCAAAGCATGCAATGATAGCAAAGCTTTATATCAGGGTGTGTAACTCGGTTTAATAGAGATGAAACTGACGGTATATATATATATATATATAATACCAAAATGCTTTTTCCATGTTACTTCTTTCATGGTGGCTAGCAGAAGAATTCAAGGTGAGCGTTTCGTTCTACTTGGAACTTGTCATCTGGACTTGCCCACCTATCTACCAGTGAGTGATGGTATTTCACTGAGACTGGATTCTAGCATCTACCACTTCAAAAGCTAAAGCATAATTCATTACGCCCCAAGATTACAACAGCCGGCTCTTCTGCAACAGCTTGATTTGGAGTTATTTATTCATGTTTGTGATATTCTGTTGGCACATCTGACTGCATTAATCAATCTCATTTTTGAATACTGGTGAAATGGACAACTCTCTAATGTTTTAAGCAACGATTACTGAGTTCATTCTAAACGAAACGCAATCACCCAATGGAAAGCAAGAGAATTCAGCTCATGAGTCCCAAATAGGACGAAACGCGTGTCCTGGACTTTACTGCTAGCCACTACCAAATAAGTCACATTGAGTTATTAATCCAATTAATATCGAGGCACCTATTGAAGGAGTTTATACATCAAAAGTGAGAATAAAAGCGGTTCAGTTATATAAACCAAGTGGGAATCACACAAATGAATAAGTAATTTCAAACTGTTTTGTTAAAAATATTATTATTATTATGCTATTTAGAGTGCGTCGGTGGCGCAGATGTAGAGTACTCAAAAGTCACTCAGGTGGTTCGAGGTTGGATCCCCGGCTGACGCATTTCAAATTCTCGTTTAGCTGGTATTAAACCCGGCAAAGAGGGAAGATTTGGCGTGAGACTAGCAATTCCACCCCGTGAAAAAATGAGACCACTGATACCGCAACTTCAAAGCACTAGCTTGAAGCCCTATGTCATACTGGGAACGCAAAGGAATAAAATAAATAATAATGCAATATTAGAAACACGTCCAGTTAAAAAGTTTGGTTCAATCAAAATCTAAATATCAGAAAAAATCTCTCGGAATAATAGGTACAGAATCCAGTGAACTTAGAAGGACAACTGCACCTAACAGATACAAAGAACTAAGAGTTACACAAAGCACTTTAATATAAAAAAGTATTATCTGGGAAACTTTCGTAAACTTCTTGAGTAAACACTTAAACATGAATTTGATAATGCAGAAAGTAAGGACAATAATAACCATATTTCGTTGAACATTCTTTTACATGATAACAGAAACAATTAATGGATGAAGTTAACCAAATCTATTATTTAGAGTCATTTGTGACCATTGAAATTCGTCAGTGTTGGTTGGAAATTACATTACAGACTGAATAATACTGATTTTTCTAATAAAAAGCCACACACAGAGAATTAAGCTAATAGACTGATGACTCTAGGTAAATGAACTGTCAGTGTGAATGTTCTCAATGAGACATTTCAGCATGTGCGTCTTTTGTTTCATTAGTTATGAACCCCTATATATTATTTTCTTTTACCCGTAATATTTGACACGTTCATTGATTTATTCAACTGTAGGAAAATACATCTGCATAACTTCTCATAGCTTTTGTACTATATCCCACAATGTCTTGTCTGTTGACTCAAAAGCTTACTCTAATGTGCTTCTAAATCTTCATCCAAGCTACTGATTTTTAAAGCACAATTATAAATAATCACAGCTTGTGAATACTATAAGAGACAGAGGAACTGTGATTTACTCACTAGGCATTCATAGACAGTTCAGTTCACGGTTTCCTAAAATATGCCACTGATAGGAAATTATGTCAAACAATTCTATATGCACTAGTTGGTATTTTGTTTGTCCAGTTTTTGATACGGGATTTTCTATTTAAATCTTGGTATGATTTCGAGTCTAAATTCCTTGTTAAATAAAGACTGAACTCCTTTTAAATCAACAAAATTAAAACAGCAAATATTAATGTAGTTACTACCATGTGAATATTAAAGGGGTATTTCAATGAACATAAATCAGAAGAGTCATTTTCACCACAAAAACCATCCTAGTGGTCAAACAATCAGCATCCATTATGGATAAGATTTTATTATGATAAATCACACAGTGTTATACAGTAATATTAACTGATGACATTTCGAGCACAAATTATTGCTCATAATCATATCAAGTCACTCACACAACTTTTTACTTCATTTATATACATGAGTGGAATTAATTAGACAACCGAATAAAAATCAATATAGGATAATGTACATTCAGAAATGAGTATTATTAATCGAATACAATCAGATGGGAAATCAGACGAGTGTTTTTATAGTCATAATAAGTAACTTGTTAGAATGTTGTGATATGTTTGAATTGAAATAGAATTTTGAGACCATTTATTATCCTCTTCTGATTTGACTGACTGGAGGGAATAATATCTCCCATATTTCTGGTATTTGCATTGAGTCATTTCTGTTGCATGTGTTGTGTTGGTTGTAGACTCAATGAACCAAGATTCAGTAATCAATCTCCACCTACCTAGATTACTTTTTGGGATTTTAACTCTCTCCCACCCTAATGTGTGGTTGTGTGTTAATGCATGTAGTGCATTTGCTAAGCTTTTTTCCTAATTACTTATCCTCTCGGGGTCAAACATTCTTACCATAGCTAAATTCTTATGTTCCGACAATCTGACCTACTAGTTTGACCTATGTAGTTGACCTCACAATTACTACAGGATATTTTGTAAATTATGTTATTTTGTCTAATTGGGTACATCGGGTCTTTTAGCCTACAGAGCTTGTCTCTGAGTGAGTTTGTAGGTTTGAATGCCACCTGAATTCCTGCTTTATTATGAATCATACGAAGGGCCTCAGACGTCCCCTCCTTATATGGTATAACAGCAGATGACTTATATTCTCTCTTATTTATGTTATCACTACTAGTTTCGCGATTATTTTTAATTTGCTTTTGGCCTTTTTCGATCTTCCTAATGAATTTTATAGGATAGTTATTTAACACCAACGCATGCCTAGTTGAATTTCTTCTGAAGTGGCTGTTGGCTTTCATATCCTTTATATATATATATATATATATATATATATCCATACTTTTATCTTACAGTAGGGCAACATTCTATTGATTTATTGTCAGTTTAAATTTGTAGCTTTATGTAATACTGATTAACTCTTTGAAAATGCAAACTCTGCACTGTTTAATTCATAGAAAGAAGATAAATGTTTCAGTATTCAAATTCACAGTGTACAAGTAATAAGAGTCATAAATTTGTACACAGCTTAGACATTTCAAGTTATAAGGGCATAAGTAGTATTACAATAGCACTAAGTGATTTGAGAGTGTGACTGTTAAGAAGTACCAGTATTCTAGAGTGTCTGAGGAGAGAACTACTGTAGAATAACAAATGACGACAACAAAACCTTGAAATCATCACTGCTAATTTTTACGTTGGTGAAGCAGTCAGTTCGCCAATTGTGTTTACCAACATATATTAATAATATGTACTATTAACCTACCATAAACATATTTTTGTTAGAGAAATCTCTCACTGTAACCTACAGTGTAACTGAATTTAAATCAGTGAGGAGATCAGAAAGTTGTTCGGATGAGAGGGAAGACTGCCAACACAAACTGTTCAAATTAGAAGTAAGGTGAAAGTAATTGCACACGTATTAGATGCTACCTGTTAGTTTAGGTCAACTAGGTTGATGACACTCAATCAGTTTGGATATTTTATTCAGTCTCCCAGTAATCAGATGATGAACGGATAACTAAGTAATGTTGACTAGTGCTTTCTGCATATGGTTAATAGAATAGATGCATAAACTAACAAATACAGTACAACAAAAATATTAATTCAGACATCTATAAAAAACAATATAATTGAGCAAAGAATATCTTTTTCGAAAATTTCCTCTTCTGGCCTTACAATTATATATATATATATATATATATATATATATATATATATATATATATATATATATATATAGAATATTCTAGAACTGTAGTCAATAACAATATTAGTGTTTTTTAAATAATATCGATTTATAAAGTAAGACCAATTAAATTACAGATCATCAAAGATGCTTAAATTATAATAATAATAATAAAAATATAATAGCAAATAGAATATCAACTAAAATTAAGGAAATTTCTACAAAAAATTCAGGACCATTCAAATCTAGATGGCCAAGGTAAGGAAAATGTCTGAACTAGCTTCTTTTGGACACATAAATTAGGCTTCTTAATATGGATCCCAACGGCCTCAGCAGTATTCAGTAAACTAACTATTAAGGAGAAGTTAAGATTTGTTGGTATGCGGTAAATAATTTTGAAAGCCTCGTTAACGTCAATCTTGTGTTCTGTATCCACAAGATGAGACAGAATAGAGCTACGAATAGATTTTGTTTGCCCCTTACTTAACCACGCAGGATGATGCTCAGAAATCCGACGAGAAACACGCCTAATTGCACGGCCTATGTAACAGAAGCAGTTAAATTGGTAGATACACATGGTAGAGGAGAAATTAGGCAGTTTATCTTTTACTCCTATACGCAAAAGAGGAGTGGTTTTCAAGGCACAGTGTAATTCAGCAGCAGAGAATGCCCTTTTTACCGCATTTCTAAGGCGCTGTGTTAGTATCTCTCTGATGTTATCCCAAAGGAACTGCATTTGTAAGAATAAGGCCTTCCTAGGAACTGTTGGTACATTGAGTTGCCTTAATTTTAGATTCATATTCTTATCAATAAACTTTTCTGGATAACTATTTTCACTCAGCCACCGTTTAATATCATTAGGTTCCTCATCAAGACATTCATCTGAGTAGATTGCTCTTGCTTTGTCAACCAAGCACATTATCAGATTGCGTTTGTATTTCAACGGGACGAAGCTGAAAAAATGAGTATACTAACCAGTTGATGTGGGTTTTCTACATACACTTCTTATTGTGCCATCCTCTTTTCTGGTCATAAGGA